AATCAGAGCAGTGAGGCGGGGCTTTGAAGCAGTGGCTTGAAAGACCGATGTAAGCATATCGATCACAGCACACATGACCGAGCACATGTTGCAACCTTCCCTCCCAAGCCTCGCTCCGTGCCTCTTATAAACTGTCCACATCGCATTTACCAATCAGTGCAGTAGGGGGGGTTTGCAGTACAAAAAACACATACTGTGTGGTGAACAGAAAGAGGAAATGACAAGCTGGATGTACATAATAACGGAGGGAGAGCTGGACAGAGAAAGATCCCCTGCACAGATGAGTGAGCGTGCACATACAAACGCATCAGAGATATGAACAGTTCATGTATGTGTAGGCATACTTAGCACCTCGAGGGGAAAGAAACCTCTCCATTTAAATATTACATAATGGAAAATATATGAAATCTTTTTTAGAGACAATCAATTGCTGGCTTTCTGTATCAGAAGGGTAGCAGGAAGGAATACAGGAAGTTATTATGCACTAATCAAATCAGAGCAATTAGAGTGGACAGAAAATGTCTTGGAGGTTAATAATGTGTTGGTTTACATGTCTTGTAAGACGGCTAATATTTCAACATAATTTTGAGAATAAGACGTCTAGATTTTCAGCTTCTGTTTGGCCGTTGCATTTTGTTTTAAAACACTAAAGAAATGCCTTGCTTCTTTGCTTCTTTATGCTTTCAAAAACATTAAAGAAATGTGCTGATCACGTGAAATTAATTGCAAGTTTATACAGGAAACATAAAGCCCACATTAGTAATATGTAGCACAATTCAACAGCACAGTTATGAAATAAATACAACCTTTGTGGAAACTATGTTTTCAATTTATGCTGAGACTGTGTGGTCATGTTGTTACGACTCTATTACACACTTACTGTTAGGTTTCCATTTGCAATGTCCTTGTATTAGATTACACAATGCTGTCAAATTTAACATGTGATTTACAACATAATAAAACTGTCTTTTATATAAGGTTGTTTATCCATCTGCGACAGTGCAGAAAGCAACATTCAGTTAGTGGTACTCTACACATAAATACCAGGTAAATGTGTAAAATGGTCAAATGTAGCAAGCACACTGCTCAAGGCAGAAAGCTCCCTACAACACTGTAGATCATAATGGAGTTAAAAAGCTTGATTGTAGTTATACTCTGACTGGCATTTAATATTCTGGAGAAAAACAAAAAAGAAGGTGGCTTTAGTAGACCCAGAAGAATCTTGTAGTAGTCGTGGCAATATCAAAAATATTAAAAACAAACATTCACATATTACAAGAGCATGCACAAATACATGTGAATATATGAGCTTGCGTGAATAATGTGTGTGTGGGCACAATCCTTATTAATACTGTGCTGAAATAAACAGCCTGCACCGAACAACGGCATTACATGATTTATGTCTGGAATGAAGGCTGTGACCTCTGAACTTCTGCTGGCAAATGACAAAAAGGACCATTGAGTTACAGCATAAATGAGGATATTATCCTGTATTTTTGAACAGAGATGCTTGACTACATCCCACCTTGCAGCTCCCCCAACACTATCAGCTCAGCATCAGCCTGCACAGCCCTTATTACATAAACCCACCTGGACACCCTATAACAAACAAACGCACACACACACACGCGCACACACACACACAAGCGCTACCATAATGAGCGTTACAACCCCCAACCACTGCACGGACCATGTATTGAGCTTTTCAGTCATTTCTAGGCATTTCTCTGAGAAGCTATGTGACTGCTCCTTCATCACCTGACCGGATGCAGCACCATAAAAGGACAGTCGGTAGTGAGGCAGTCTTAAAGCGGCAGCTCCTTATCAACACGTACTGAGCTGCTCTACTGTAGCCTTAACTAACTGCAAGATGGGGTGAAAAAAGCACAAGACATCATTACATCAACTTGTATCTTTCACAAATAGCAGACACTGTAAGGTCAGATTGTAGTGAAATATAAGCAGCTTTACACGTAATACTTTCACTGTTCAATGATCACAGCTTTGTAAAGTATGAATGTGCGTGAAGGGGGTTGAGGAGGATGTAAACGGCAAAGGGTAAGCGACAGCAAGACAGAAAGCCAGTCAGACTGAGACAAATGAGAGATACTCATCAGTTTTGAACTAAAAGACAAAGTAATCTGCCTAGAAGCCACCACAACGCTCTCCCCGCAATTCAGATGCAGAAAACAACGGCTACACGGCTAAGGCTCCTATTAATAGGCCTTAGTGGCAAAGAACAGCTGCTCCACCACACACACCAAACACAGCACCTCCAACTGATGGAATAATGAGAGAGAGAGAGAGAGAAGCACACACATGGAGGAAGCAGGAATGGAGAAAAAATGAGGGAGATAGGAAAAGAGGAGAGTGGAAGATTGTATCAGAGCTACAAGAACAATGTTTGTGCAGATTTTGTACGTGCACAAAAAGACAGAAGCGGAGAGAAAGAGCGTGGTGCAAAATGGGTGCAAGTAGGAGGTTAAGAGATTAGCCGCAAACTGACTAGAGAGGTGAAAGCAGTTGATGAGAATGATGAAGGTGCTGTAGGTCCATGACAGATGCCATAACAGAGGAGAAATGAAGCTAAGGTGCCCTGTGTGTGGGCAGAAACGCGATGACTAGAGGGGGCATTACTGAAGCATGGTGCTGAACAGAAGGGGAAGTAAAAATAGAGAGAAGAAAATAGAGAGATGCTGAGAAAACAACGAAGTGCTTATGCATCCATGAATGCATGGGAATGCAAAATAAACTGTGTAATTACCCATTCACCTTGCCACAGAGTGCAATGCATCTGAAATCAGTGTGCTTGCTGAGTGTGCATCATCACGAATGTGCTCAGTACGTGTACGGTGTAAAAGCAGAACAGAGAGAGAGAGAGAGAGAGAGGGGGAGGGAGGGAGAGGGAGAGGGAGAGGGAGAGAGAGAGAGAGAAAGAGAGAGAGAAAAGAAAAAAAACAAAGACACGAATTAAAAGAGGAATGAAAAAGACAGGATGAAAAACAGAGAAGTGAGGGGAGAGATAGATAGAGAGGAAGAGAGTCAGAGCAGTCTGTAGGGATGCAGGCGGGGGAGGAATGTGGTTTCCATGGCAACCTGAGGAAGGCTGAGCTCTGGGTGTCCGTTCCAGCTCTGCACTGCACCGGCCCTCGCCTCTCAGCCGCCTTGCTCTCTCTCTCTCTCTCTCTCTCCGTCTCTCTCTCTCTCTCTCTCTCTCTCTCTCCAGCCTCCCCCACTAGATCTTTTTCTCTACACCCCCCTTCTCTCCCTTTCACTCCCTCCCTTCCATTCCCTGCGCCTCCTCAGCTCCCTCACCTCCCTCCTTCATGTGATAGGGGGAGTCACTCACACACACACACACACACACACACGGTCAGTTCCATATTATCCACACCAGAGTCAACGTGTGCTGTCACTGTGTTCGTATGGAGAAATTATCATACAAGCACAATGAATCCATGTGCTTACAGCCTGCATCACCCTCTCTTTTACCCCTTCCAAGTGCCCTGATCCTTACGCCTCCACCCCCCCACCTACTACACTAGTTCTGGGCTCAGCTGAAAAGCCAACGCCTGCGGCCACTGTGCTCCCATGTGCCACTGGCCGTGTTGTAATGGGGAACGCATGTGAACACAAGGGCTTCTAACAATGCTGAGGAACATGGAAGCCTACAGAGACGTATCTCTGTCATAAAAGGCGAGCTTGTTGCTCATGTCAGCAGCAGATTTGCCCACAACTCTTAAAGAAACTGAAATTTTTGGAAGTATGCTTATTGCCTTCTTTGCCAAAAGTTACCACATATAGCAGGCGATAAACTTGGTAGCACGTAGAGAGGAAACAGGGGTACATAGCTAGCAAGTGGAAATCAGGCTACCAACACAACACATTATATTTTGTTTGTGTAATTCATACTTTGTAGCTTTTCGTTTGTCTTGTGCACAGATTACTCTGTCAATGAACTATAGAGTTGCTGAGCGAGAGGTGATCTCAGTAGAGTATTGATGTAACACTCAGCAACACAATGAAGCATATATAGAAAATTATTGAATTATTCCTTTAAATCATTTATATTATCACCCTGACATAATAGGATGCATAAAGCTTGGGTAGGCAGTCATTTGTGGCAATATTGGGCGAGAATGTTGCACTAATCTTTCAGCACATTGTAATCTAAATAATCTGAGTGGACACTTGACGTCTGCATATCCTCTCGGCTCTGGTTTTTTAGGCTTAAGTCAATCTAGCCCATGACGGGAGATTGTAACCCAGGCTTAGCCAAGATCAGGTGAGATATAAATACGAGTAGAAATAGCACCAAAGTTCATAGTGATTGTTGAATAAAGTGATGCAAAGGTATGAAGCTACAAATAAAAACTATCCTTAAGTTTGACTATCCGTGTTTGTTTAAAGCTCATCACTCATTTAGTGAGAGAGTCTTAGAACAGAGCAGGGAGAGGAAAGTGCTACAGAGGGAAGGTGAAATATTTTCAAATTCTGTCAGTTTTTGTTTTATTTTTGCCTTTTCCAGATTTCTGCCTACTGCAGCTTTAAATGTTTTACAGGTGAAGGTGAACACCATTAATCATGATGCTCTGTATGAGCAAAATAAATGCAAACATCATTGGTGTTAAAATGCTGAGGCGAAAACAAATAAGTTCCCATTTTTAGCATGAAGCATTAACATCCCAATAATCAATACAGATTATTAACCGTTCAGACTGATCAAACAAATCCGTACAAATCAGTTCCTTGACTCTTTGGACTGCTTTGTGATGCGGCAGCAACATTACCAAAATGTTCCAAAGGTCAGCTTTATGAACAGTAACATGATGCTAGGGCCATTGTGATACCTGACTAAATGTCATGGAGACTGCGTACCCATCACATCATCAGTATCACTTTGGAGCAGTTGCCCTTTCTGATGCTATAATGGAATCACTGAGGAGACGCTGTCTTTAGGAGACCCCCTGGGAAACTCCTTTTTGCTTGGCTTCGCTCACCTTTGGCATGTCGACACGGGAGCAGGCCACCAAGCCAGACACTCGCTCCACTTTGTGAGGGCTCCTCCTGCTGGTCACTCGTACCCGAGACACACCCTCATCCTCCTGATCCTGCAGCACAAACACAGATGATTTTTTTTTTAGACAAGGGGAGGAAATAAAACTCCTCCTGCAACTCTCAGGACATACTTGTGGATACTAAAGATGATAAGTAGTTCAACATACAAAAAAGTGCAGATGAGATAATACTTCCAGGTTTGCATGATATATTCACGACCTCAGAAACAGATTGAAAACATATTGAAAATAACAAAAAAGCATGAAAAAGTATTTTTAAAGTCTTTAATGATTCTGGAAAGACGCTCAAAACAATGGCAAGAGTTAAGCAGTAAGTGTCAAATAAGACAAGTCCTTCAGAAGAGGCTTTGCAAGTTGAACAGAATGGTATTAAAGGAAAATCTTGCCAGTCTGTTTGTTTAGCTTAATATGAAGAAATTAATTACTCCTGCTCGATCTGAAGTACAAATATCTGCTTACCAGCACTTCTAAAGGTCCACAATTAACCGTTAATATCTGGTTTATTTAAATTGTACAAAAATAAAACTGATCATTTGGGTTTTATAGGACTGCCTGCTGAGATTATTTCTTGGTCTGTCACAGCAACTTCCTGAAGGCTTGCTGAAACTCTAGCAAATCACCGAACATAGCCCAGGTAGCTGTTTCCCCTGTCTCCACACTTTATGCTAAGCTAAGATAACCAGCTGCTGGCAGTAGCTTCTAAAAGACAAGGTTGCTGATTTCCAAAAATGTTTAATTATTCTTTCAGTGATGTTTAAATGTTTGCAACAATCAGGACATTTCTGAGCTGTTTAACTGCCAGGAGCTAGTCCAAAGTATGAAGGCATGTCTCGTGAAACTGTGCTGTAGCAAAAGGAGAGTAACTTTGGAAAGCCAAAAAGTACAAAAAAAAAAACAACAGTCAGGAATAAACCACAGTGCTGTACTGTTGGAAATAGTTCACTGCCAGGGGAACACAGAAACGGACTAGAGAGTTGAATCCATCTTGCATTTAATGACAAACGACATTAAGCCAATATAAAATAGAAGCAATTCTGTAACTAACCAAACCATCTAAATAAATTAAGTCTAACTTTACAGAGTACAAAGCTTTCTCCACGGACACATACGGTCCACAGTACCTGAAACTGACCGGAATCACAGCCACAGTTCAGACCACACAGACCCTAAACTGACACCAGAGGGCAGCCTTCAGAGCAGGCCATCACTTTGCAAAGTTGCAATAAGAACAGGTCCAAAGATTTTCCAAATAAAGGATGTCTTATCTCTTATCCAATATTTCCAAATTAAAATCAAAGCTGCTCTTGTGCTCAAGTTGAAAAGACAAGTGTTTATATAAATACACCCACACCTCTAAGAATGCAGGCTGCAGTACCTGGCATCAATGCAACCAACAGGAGGAGAGCTGGAAGGCAAAAATGAACCTTCAAAACCACACTGATGTCAAGTTTGCAGCATTTTTTCTTATTTTTGCAGCAGTGTGGATCAGATAAAACTGGGTGTTATTTTAGAGATGCTAAGTGAGTTTCTCTTTGATGGCTTCATTCCCACGTGGCGGAGCTGTCAGGCAGGTCAACTGACACTGGGACAGCCTGAGTCGCCCCCCCCCAGCTGCCTTCTACATCTAATAGTGGCAGCTAAGAGTTTGCCTTTTGCACTGTGCACTCACATTCACATGCATGCAGGCATATATAATTGCACAAACATAGTTGAAATGAGTATTTGAATGAATCATTTAAAGTCATGCAACATCTAAAATTAATGAAATGTTTCCGCTTCTCGCCGGCCATCACTCCTGTTTATTATTTTGATTGTTACAAAATAAAAAACCCAACAAATGCAATTTTTTTTGCAACCAAAACATGAATTATTTTTCAAGTATGAAATCAACTAGACCACTAAAAATAGCCTTTTCTCTGGTGGTTTTGTTCTTTTTTTTTTTCCTCCAAGGGAGCTATTCTCCACTCTCACCTGCTACTCTGCACCAAATCAGGGAATTTGCAGACTCATTTAGTTTCCCTCCCATCCTCCACTCAGGTGACAGCATGGCTAGAATACTGATGAGCACCTCACTGGGTGTCCATTAAGCAGCTCCCCCTGTCTCGCACTTGCTCTCTCTCTTTCTCTTTCTGTCTCTCTGTCTCTCTCTCTCTCCCTCAAACGTCCCACTATGACTGCTGCATCCTTCCATCAGCCTGTCCACGATTGTGCCTCGGCTCCACAAGCAGCTGGGATCCAGAGAGTGAAGGATGGAGGGGGGGGAGAGGATCAGGAGCCATGCTGCACTGAATTAAAAGCTAAACAGGGTGGATCACAGATGCACTGCGAGGCGCTTAGGATGGCAGAATAAAGTTCAAGCCACAGTCATAATTTATGGTTCAGGTCACCTATCAAGGGAGCGACAGATTCTGAACACATGGCCCTACGATAAGTAGCAATTCATGCTTGACTAATCCAGTGATTCCCAACCACTGGCTACTTTTTTATTTGCCCTGGGGTGCATGGAAAGATGGTGGAGCAGCTCGATTAGATTTTAAACAGCTGACAAGTTGACAGTAACGAAATGAATAAATGGGTGACAAGGCTTAAAGCAATGGATAAATGGTTGAAACAATTAGCTAAATGTAAAAGATCAACTGTAATAGTTAATAGTACTAGATGAGTGTTAGCCATAAGTTAACAACAAAATGCAAACTTGCGTAAATAGACGCGAGCATTGTCTATTTAATTGTAGAAACATATGGTAACAGTATCAACTTTTGTATAGTTAACTGTCTTAAATAACATCCTTTTGTTAAACAAATCTGTCAGATGACAGATTTTGGCAATGAGGGACAATTGATTAGAGGCGCTGGGCTGTCAGGGTTCTTTTGGAAATAATACGGAAGTTTAAAACCTTACATAATTAGAAAATATGATGTTAATACATTCCCTAATACGTCCTTTTAATTTTACCAGTGCATTGTGTTGGAAATAATGTCACTTGCTCAAGCTTTATGTGTAGAGCGAGATTTGAGCGATTATGGCCTGACCAAATATCAGATCAATAATTAGCATTTTTCTGATTATCATTTTTTGTTTTAAGCGATTACTGATGGAATAAATTAATCTTAAAATGTACCACTTTGGCTCTGATGCAGCTACCCGCCCACAGCGCTATCCATTTTGTCAAACGTCACACATTATAGCAATCATAGCAACACTGAAAGAAAAATATTGAATTGTTCTCTTTTAACTAAACGTATAGAAATGATTTATAATCAGGCATATTCTAAAATTTGACAGAAATATTTTCATTTTTACTGCAAATGCATATTAATTCCAAACATCAGTTATCAATCTCCTTGACTATAAATAATTAGTAATGGCCCACAAAAAACATATTGGTTGACCTCTACTGTGGTGTAGTCATAAACCAGACAGTCTGCACTACAGCTTCCATTTAATACTGTCAAGTAAATGACAAGTTCATTGTGGTTCCCCTGTCCAGCTGACCGAGCATAATCCGGTTCAGACTTACATGAATTTCAAAAACATACTGACATTAAGTGATTGACTAGAGGGAGGGGCTGTTAAGCGTAAAATAATAATGTTAGATTAAAGTTTTCATCTCATGTGAGAACTGAACTGTGCAATTTCACTATCACCTTTTTATCATGAGCCAAAAAAAACACAGAAAAAGGTTTGCACAACATGACCTAAAAACACAGGCACATACATGCATTCAGAAGTATGCATGAATCAATATTTTAAGCCGTGTATGAAATCTAGACTAGATCCAATCGCAGCAAAACATGCAGGGTAGCTGCAGCAGAGTGTATCACAAAGGTGAAGCCTATGCTGAGAGTCATCGAATGGTTGACATCACAGTGACTGTGCCTCTTAATGACCAATCAGAACATCCCAAAAGACTAAAGAGAAAATGGACGACATCCGGAGCACAATTTTAATTCAAGATCTGGTCATTAAGGAGGAGCAGTGGGACAGAGCCAGCTGCCCTGCCAGTGGCCAACTGTCAGAACTGGCTTACCACTGCATTATTATGAAGCTTAAAGTCTTTTTTTTTTTTTTTACACAGTGATGTCTTTTTATTGCCATATCCCCTGCAAGCAAACACTATTTGATGAAGCAGATGAGGCAGGATAAAGGAGGTGATATGATTATAAAGACTGTACATTTGAGTATTTTATTTGCCTAAACATAATTTTGACCTCAACTTTGCTTTACAATACATACATTTTACTCGAGCTGCAGCAATGAATCGATTAGTCATCAACTATCAAGGTAATTGCCACAACAACTTCTTAAAACTGAATATTTTTAGTTTTTTTTTTAAATCCTCTCTGACAATAAACTTTATATGTTTGGGTTGTGGATGAAAAGAGACATTTGAGGATGTCATCTTGGGCTTTGGGAAACACTGTTCAACATTTTTAACTATTGTATATTTTATAGACAAAACTAATCGATTAAAATAGAACCAACATTGTAAAAAAGGATAGTTGCACATTTGTACACGTTGTCCTCCATTAGTTACATTGATACCACTGTACAATACGTGCAGATGTCGTTGTGGCCACTCATAAATAATAACTTACTGATAAATTTTAATCCTTACGCTGTATTTGCATGTTAAGAAAAATGGTTGGAAGGATCAGACAAAAGACAATCCAATTCCAGGTAACAAATGAGTAGGGAGAAACAAATCATGTGTTATCAGTGTGTTAGAGTCCAGCAACTCAGGAGATCATCATGAATACAGTATAACAGCAAAATAGGGAGTTAAGGTATCTACTGAGGATTAAACCGGTGGATAAGTTAGAACTTATGTTTGATCTCAATTAAAACAAGGGAGTAGTAATTGTGTTGCCTACAACCAACAGAAAAGTAGAGGAAATATTCAAATTTGTGTGGTTCTGGATCCATCATACACTATGTTGCCAAAAGTATTCACTCACCTGCCTTGACTCACATATGAACTTAAGTGACATCGCATTCTAAATCCACAGGGTTTAATATGACGTTGTTCTACCCTTTGCTGCTATAACAGCTTCAGCTCCTCTGGGAAGGCTGTCCACAAGGTCTAGGAGTGTGTTTATGGGAATTTTTGACTATTCTTCCAGAAGCACATTTGTGAGGTTACACACTGATGTTGGACGAGAAGGCCTGGCTCTCAGTCTCTGCTCTAATTCATCCCAAACGTGTTCTATCGGGTTGAGGTCAGGACTCTGTGTAGGCCAGTCAAGTTCTGCCCCACCAAACTCTCTCATCCATGTCTTTATGGACCTTGCTTTGTGCACTGGTGCACCTTCATGCTGGAAGAGGAAGAGGCTATCTCCAAACTGTTCCCACGAAGTTGCATGGAATTGTCCAAAATCTCTTGGTATGCTGAAGCATTCAGAGTTCCTTTCACTGGAACTAAGGGGCCAAGCCCAGCTCCTGAAAAACAACCCCACACCATAATCCCTCCTCCACCAAACTTTACACTTGGCACAATGCAGTCAGACAAGTACCATTCTCCTGGCAGCCGCCAAACCTAGACTCGTCCATCAGATTGCCAGATGGAGAAGCGTGATTCATCACTCCAGAGAAAGTGTCTGTACCGCTCTAGAGTCCAGTGGCGGCGTGCTTTCCACCACTGCATCCAACACTTTGCATTGCACTTGGTGATGTATGGCTAGGATGCAGCTGCTCTGCCATGGAAACCCATTCCATGAAGCTCTCTATGCACTGTTCTTGAGCTAACCTGAAGGCCACATGAAGCTTGGAGGTCTGCAGCAATTGACTCTGCAGAAAGTTGGCGACCTCTGCTCCCTATGTGCCTCAGCATCCGCCGACCCTGCTCTGTCAGTTTACGTGGCCTACCACTTTGTGGCTTAGTTGCTGTCGTTCCCAATCGATTCCACTTTGTTATAATACCACTGACAGTTGACTGTGGAATATTTAGGAGTGAGGAAATTTCATGACTGGACTTGTTGCACAGCTGGCATCCTATCACAGTACCATGCTGGAATTCACTGAGCTCCTGAGAGTGACCCATTCTTTCACAAATGTGTGTAGAAACAGTCTACATGCCTTGGTGTTTGATTTTATACACCTGTGGCCATGGAAGTGATTGGAACACATGATTTTGATTGTTTGGATGGGTGAGTGAATACTTTTGGCAACATAATGTAACTGCACCCAGGTTTTTCTGGCTTAATACTTCAACAAAGCAAGAGCAACGCACAGTACCTTCGTTGCACGTCCTATCTTTCTTTCTCCCCTTGTTTCCTGCCTGTATCTCTACTATGCATTTTAAAACAAAGGCCAAAAGCTCATAGAATTTCATCCTTTTTTTTGCAACATAATTAAATTCTTCTTCTGCAGCTCATTTTTTTAGAGACTTGATCAACATGCTAGATGTCTCTACATACATTTCCATTTGCGGAAAAGCTTTCATGACACATTAAAACTGAGAAAAGCTCTAAAGCCAATTTCTAGTGGGCTCTTTTCACCTCTGAAGTATTTTGGAGATGACTGTGAATGGTTGCCTTTCAACGCTACCACAACTCCAATTCTCTAAAGGCAAAGTAAGTGCCCGTTCCAATTTCTATGGTGTTACAGTAGATTTACAAAGGAACCCCTAATATTATGTCAATAAACAGCTGCACACTTGCTCAACGCTAAACACTTTCAATACAGACCATTGCAAGGGCTATGTTAACCAGTCGCATTATGCTTGGTCCTGTGTGGACAATAAATAAGAACAGAAGGCTTTGTAAAATGGTCTGCTGCTTTCCTTTTATAGATTATTGGTCTTTGAGGTATCTTTCAAGCCAACATAATTTTATTAATCTGATTGTTTAGTAGAAGAATCTAGTTTCTTTGTTCAAAGGGATGAATGCTGGTAATTTTGCCTTAAACTCAATTTTTAAAATTACATTTAAAAATTTTGCGCTAAAATTGAAATCACATTTTTTGCTGGTGGCACCACATACCATTTAGAGACTGTGCTACTGTGAGTGTAAACAAATATCCACTAACACACACACACACACACAAACACACACACATACAGAAGCAACAGCATTTTTCTATCCTCTGCAAAAAAAAACAAAAAAAAAAACAGACCAAAGATCATTCACTTAATGGGTTATAGAAGACAGCCAAAGATCAATTTCATTAGCATTTTGGCATAGCTCACGGAAAGTTATAGGGCAACATTCAATCACACAAGGGATGTGAAATTAGCTTTTAGGAGATCAGGGACAAGAAACTACAGAAAAATATGTACATAAAAAATAAACACACAGGCTACTTTACTCTGTAAACCTGTGAAATTCAAGTCACCCGCCCTCATGTATGCAAATGGGGTGGACAAAATATGAGAAATGCTTTTAGATGCAATGTATAATCATAATTCACATAAAGCAGAATTCTCCCCTTCTCAACAGCATAATAACAATGAGCGTATTTTTCACTTGTTTTTATCAGGTAGTCTAAGCTCCTTGACATGTCTTAAACATTCATTTAACATATGGGCCTACACAAAATGTAGCTTTTCTCCCTTTGGTTCAGTTGTTTCTGTGTCCGACACTAAAAATATTCTCAATACCCATGTGACTACAAACACTTGGTATAATGAAAGGACTGGCTGCCTTCATGAGAGCAGCCCACTGATGAGCAAGGCTGGTAATCAAGGCTCTTTTGACTCTGTCTAATTTCCTCTTCTTCCTCTATCCATGTGTGCCTCCGTCCAACTTTTTTCTCTGTCTGACACTCGCTCACTCATCAGGTTGGAGTCACAGCCGCCATGACTCATGGAAACATGTTATCTGTGTAGGAGTGCGAGGGACACAGGTAATGGCCTCTGGCGTTGGCCGCCGAGTAAAGTCACAGCATACAACCGCACATGTGACACCAGATGCAATGTAAACATTAGGCATATTTTCTCTAATCCATAATGTGAAGCAGGAAAATTACCTCCCACGCATCCTCCCTGCTGTCTTCTTTCACAACACTTTGCGCTGTGTTCAGTTGCAAGGTCACCTCGTAACACTCTTGAATATCTGTGAGAAACAAAACAAACTATAATGAGCTATTTTTTCTTCACTTGGATTATTGCAAACATTAGATGTGGGCTTTTTTTTTTTTTCCCTTTGTCATCTTTATTTTTTGTTCAGAACTTCTCAGCTCGCAAGACACAGCTAGTAAAAGAATGTACTGATCAATCATTGGCACATTGGGAGATGTCTTGTTTTTTTCTCTGTGGTACAGCGGGTAAAAATGTGGGGGTGGGAGATGTCTGTTTACATGGAAGCTATGTCTCCACATTCTTCTTATCTTCTTGCAGAGCTATATGACTCAGGTACTGACTAAGTAAATCACCAAGTCAGTGTCTAAGAGGACGACATTAGAATATTTCACGCTATTTAAACGCCATTGGTAACAAAAACATTTCTATACTTTTTGATTCTTTTACTTCATCCTCGTCACAAATCAATGACACAGCGGGTCATTCCCAGACTTTAAAGCTCCATTTTCAGGTGAAATTCCAACATGTGATGAATAAATGTAGACACTACCCCCTCGTTGAACAGTAGGCAGTTCATATGTCACAAGTGCAGTAGTAATTGAAGCTGGTTTTATGGGAGCCTTTTTTTTTTTTAAAGTCACATGAAAGGGTTGCTTGCTGAGGCTTCACATCTAATGTGATTGTACAAGCAATAGAGGCCATTGCCACACACACATATTTACGTTAGTGAACAAAAATATAAGGGTGTAAAAGCTGAAAACATAAAGAAGACAATACCTAGAGCCACGCTAGCAGTTCTGAGAGGCTCAGCTTAGATGCAGTGGTGCCATAAACTATACATAAAAGATGAATGTATCCACCGTGACGTGACCCACTGATTTGTAGACAACTGTTTTTAAAATTTCAGGTCTAGATTTGGCTGTTTAAATCTTGGTTTTCTGCAATAGGTCGTGATGATTGATGACTGGATTTGAGTGACAACTTGAGGACAATATCCATATTGATACTATAGCAGCCTGCCAATCACAAGGGAGCCATGCCCTAAAACATATCCTGCTTTGTCATCTATTTTACTCTAAATTGGACAATAATTTACACAATGAACAATGATGTCTTGAAGGAGACTTGAAAGTAGTAATTGGGACCATAAAATCATGCTGACAATGTTTACTGAGGCAACAAACCAAGTAGTTGGCAGAATCATTCCCATTCTATACAATTGGACTTCTTTCTGCAACCAGAGGAGTCGCCCCCTTCTGGCTGGAAACAAAGAATGCAGGTTTAAGTCACTTCTGCATTGGCTTCAATTTTCAAACCTAGAGGGTACATCCATCTTTTATCCACAGTCTATAAATAGCACTTTGAGCTAATTGCTAATGTTATCAGTCTGATATGCTTGCAAAGGCAAAGCTAACATATATATTTATTTGGTATAATGTTTACTATGATCACCACCTTAGATAGGTGTGTACTAATATGTTAACATGTCATAAAAACAAAAAAACCCATGTGATGTCAATGAGAGCATCATTATTTCTACAAGTATTTGGTCACAAACCAAAGTGCTGGATAAGGTGACATTTTGAATGGCCGATAAATAAAAATAGTAAGCCACTGCCAAAGTGATTACAACTCATCTGTTTCACTTAAAACAACCATCGTTAACCTGCTGTTGAAACCATTGAAAAAGTCTCAAAGTCAACAGAATTCATGGTCTTGGATGAACATGAATGTCTGTCGCAAATTTTTCCTGGCAACTAATCCTATTTCAGTGTTGACTAAAATGGCTGACTGACAGGTTGACCTCTCTCAGACCACACTGCTAGAATGGCAAAAAAGTGAAAAAAACAAACAAGGGCTGCTGCTATAGCTCAGCTGGTTGAGCTGGCAACCCATGTACTGCCAACAACGGTTGGGGGTTCGAATCCAGCTCATGGCCATTTGCTGCAGGTCTCTCCCCCATTCTTCTCCCCACTTTCCTGTCTCTCTCTCTACTGTCCTGCCAAAAAAAACAAACACATTTTGTAACTTATACGACATTGAGACTTTCAAAAAGGGAGGATAGCAGGGAAACAGTACACTGCCTCTACATTTTGCGTAGAAAGGTACAGTATGTGTAGGGGTAATCAACCATATGCCACTTTTTCTCGAGTGCCACAAACTACTAGTAAGTAGTACTAGTAAGTAGTTGTAAGCTTTGACATTTCAGTGTATTCCTCAACTCCTCCTTCCTTCTTCTAAAGTCTTCTCATCTCCACTCATCACCTCTTGGCCCACGTCCTGTGCTCACCAATTGAGTGGCAGCCATTTGATGAGAACGCACTGGGACAGTTTTGCTGATGTCAAACGCAGGCCTGGCTCCTGCAGTGTTGACATAAAGAGGTTGCTGGAGAGTTCATCAACTTCCCAAAGTTCACAGTCGGGACAGCATGGGCTACAAAACACATTTGAGAAAGACATCTAGGGAAATTTGATACATCTAAAACATGTATTTTTTTCTAATTATAATGTGGATTTTCATTTGAAATAGACTCAAAGAAAGTTCTGCCTTCTAGGTGTATGTGTGAGAGACAGAGAGATAAGAGTCAGTACGTCCCAACAAGACACTGTGAGAACAAAAGTGTAAGAATGGAGCATGTGACTCATCACTGTGTCTGAATGTGGAGGAGTAGAGCCATGTGTGGGCAGACGAGTTTGTTGACCAGCTGAATAAAGAGCAGCTTCAAACTCTTATGCACAGACACACACACACGCACACACACACACACACACACACGCACACACGCACTGTAGCTTTATCTGCATTTCTACATTTACATATAGGCACACAGATGCACAATCTGTACATGTCATTGTTCAAACAGCAAAAAAGCAGCTTCAAGAAGGGCCTCAGTAGTAACAACGGATGCAACATAGCGGTTGTTTGACTGCAGCCGAAGACCTGTGTTACATGTCTTCTCGCCCTCTCACCCCTTGCCTCCTCTTCACTTGATCGTTCCATAAAAGCAAAATGACAAAAAAAATAATTAAATATATTTAAAAGGAATCTTCAATTTATCACACTGACTTGTTGCTAGAATTGATGTTGTCCGAATGAACCATTTCAAAATGATAGTTTCTTTTTGTTTGTCATTTACAAAATCTAGGCAGTCTGTGTTTGGTTGCTACCCTTTTTCTGACAACTCACTTCTGACCCTCTGAAGTTGATATTGTAAACCTGTTAGCTAACAGTTGCCCTACTAACACATCAGGAACAAATTGAGCAACTTCATTTATATTTATGCATCTGACCACCTAAAATATATTTTACCAGCTATTATGTCTATTATCTGGTCCTAGCCAGATCATGCATAGTGCGCTATCAGCTGCTGCAGGTGGAAATAACAGAGTAAAGCTGCAGGCAGTAAAACCACAACAATGACCTGAAAGACAATAAAAAGATACATAGCACTGAGAAAAACCTGGGTGATAAGTTTCTGTGAGTTCACGACTAGGAGGGGCACCTTTAACATACAACAAAAAGTTCACAGACTGTTCGTGCCTTACAATCACAGCTGTGCAATATGTGTGAGCAGTGCTTGTAATGAGTCAGGAGTTGTGAGTCCACCACACACCACAAGCTGGAGAAGAGAGCAAACATCGCATTCTGTGTCAGTCAGGAGCTGGGATGGTCCAACCTTCATGTGGAGGATCATAACTGGCAATAAGAGGTGGGCCTGCAGCTACCACCTAGAGAAGAAACTGAAGTTTTCACAGTGTAAGAGTTTTGCAGATTCCAGAGAGCGTTACAAGCATTGCAGCAGCCCTGGGAGCACTTCATCGCTAAACAAGGATTCTTCCAGGATCCTCCGCAACCCCGTCATCACAGCCATCTTGATGTCGTCCACATCTTCAAATGGGTCCCCTTGATGACCCCCTTGAGCTTGGGGAAAAGGAAAAAGTCCCACAGAGCCAAGTCGGGTGAGTAGGGAGGTTGCTCCAGCATGGTGATGTTCTTCTCAGCCAGGAACTGTCGGATGCTCAGGGCATTGTGAGCAGGCGCATTGTCATGGTGAAGAAGCCACGACTTGTCCTGCAAATGCTGGAGGATCTCTTCGTAGACGTGCTTGTTGATCGCCCGACGGGGAAAAGTCTTAGTTTGTAGTTTGGATTTGAGATATACTTTTTGTGACACCAGTCCTTGAACTTTTCTGACACACATCATATTTCAACGGGGATAGCGGCAAAATTGAAATCAGAAATGCTTCTTTATTTATTAGAGGTGCAGTCTCAGAGCCTTCTGATCACACCTCTTGCAAAAGTGTAAGACACATTAGATGTACAGCCGGAGTCATGAAGCACTACCTTCAGCAGAATTAAGACACAGGAATCCTGCAACAGGTGACACGGCCCCCACAGAGCCTTGATCAGCACTAAATCAGTTCGGGACAGACAGTCGAAATCCACAGAAGAGCTATGGCAAGTTGTCCACAATGCTTGCCTGGGAAGTACCTTTAAAACAGTGTTGTAGTTTAGAGACTTGCTGTTGTTTTAAGGGGAGGTCATATCAAATACTGAACTGATTTAGGTTTATACTGTATACTGCACTTTGCATTAAGTTAATGGATAATGAATAACACGTGGCTTTATTCTTGAAAGCATCATCACTTCACTTGTAGTGCCAAAAACTTCCATTTGACCCAAAGTTCACATAAATATACCGGTTAGCTCAGCTTTTAAATGAGTCTCGAAAACACTGCATCTGCTACATTTTGCAGGATTTACACGTCAGCTGCATCCTGGGCACCTGGCTCCCTTTCACACAACTAACACTTCTAATTACATTGTTCATCTATTCCTGGCAGAAGTAACAAGGCAGACAAAGGTGCTCAATCACATCTTGAAGCGTTCTGAGATGAGGATTCACAGTCACACAAAGTACAGAGAATGCTTTTTTTTTTTCTTTACTTCTGTGATTTTCCAAAAATTCTCTGAACTGTTCCAACCCTCACAAACCACATAAATTCCTGGCCATGAAACAAAATACATAACCCAAGCCAGAAGTCTCTTTCACAGGAGTTATTCCAGATCTTTTTTTTTTTTATGCTGGGACTATTTTGGGAAGGCCTGGATGCAGCTCTGAGCCTTTTTTTTTTTTTTTGTCACAGCCATAGGGGTTTTCCTGCACCTTCTCCCATGCATGCAGGGTGCCTTATTGGTCTCTTCTTTATTCGATTGGACTGAAGTCATCTCTGTATTTCCTGCTTGGGTGAATCATACATAAAAAAGAATGTGCCCCTGGTTCTTTACATGATGATGAGCAACCCACAGCTCACTAGAACAACACATTGATGGAAAACTAGGTCACAATTTCAAGGCAGGGCCAACAATGCACCCCCTTGTCACTGCCTCAATAAAATACTCCCTCAGCATTTAGGGTCCTCTGTAATTTAACATGTGTCTGCCTGTATGTGTGCCCCAACTCCCAGCGAGCACCCCCTCATGAATCCCACTGCACTGTTTGTACGTTGGAACAAAAGGGTGGATGCACAGTTAAGGCAACCTTTGTTCGTGACTGTGCAACCATGCAGACATCCAATCAAGTGGCCAGTGCTGAACCTTCCCACACTGCATCCAACACCTCTGTACTTCCCACAGTGTGTCAAAGTTAAAGAGATTTTTTAAAGACAAATACTTTGCTGCAATGTTGACACATCGCCGTCTTCAGATTGTGAAAACTGCAGCGTTTTTCATCACAAAACTCTCTAATTTTGTAATTTTCTATCCGAACATAGAAAGTTTATGACGCTGTCTGCTCTGCTCAGAGGGCTCTCCACTTTGAGCCCACCACCACAGCGATAAGCACAAAATGGTCCAAATAGAACCGGTTCACATGGCCCTGAGCATGTGAAGGCAAACACAACAGGAGAGGATAAGAGGATGAGTAATGTTTATACTGCACTGTATTCCTATTAGTGCTGTGAACCAGCTGCTCCTCCACTCTTCCTTTCCTGATTAGGACCACATGTTGAACGAGGAGTGAAGCCTCATCAGCCCTGCACCTGAGACACACTGACCACAGGCCTCTTCCTCTTCTTCTTCTACCCTCACACACTGTGCGGATGATCCACAGACCCAGGAGAGTTGTGGAAGAGGCTTGGCATGGCAGCCAGGAGCAATTTATTTCCCTGTCTGCCTGAGGCCCGGCCCTGATTGAACATTCTTTGTGAGGAATGTTTGGAATCCTGATTTGGAAAGCTAATCCTCTCTGAGTCTACCTCACTTCAATAAATTACAAGGTATATTACATCTGATGTCAATAGTTACTAGATTTAAATTGTGCAAAGTTTAATGTCTCTGAAAAACGTTGTCTCTGTTTATCATATCAGTGCCCCTAATGTTTGCAGAAATGGACAGGACATGAGAGCAGGTTTTTAGTTGCTGTGGCATCTCCAGAGACAGAGAAACAATAAAAATCCCCTGGAGCAAGAAGGTAACCAGTACTTTGCTCAAGGACACTTTAGCATGGCTGATTCCTAATCACCCTGGGGATGGAAAGAAAAAAAACCCCGATTAAGCTGGTAAAAATTAAACATGAAGAAGCTGCATAGATGCTAACACTTGCTTCTTTAATGCTGCATTCATCTTGTGACTCGTGTGAACTGACAAGTCATTAAGTAAGACTGAGGGTCTACAGCCACATTAGCGGCTCTGTGTGGCTAGATTTAGGCACAGCTGTGCTTTGAACTACAACCTTTGTTTACTACGTTTATCACCTCAGTTTAGCATATTGTTATTCTAACAAAATTGTGCGGCATCCAGGGAATCGTTGTTGAGATCTTCAAGAGTCTGGAACTCTACTTGACGGATGAATACGTTTCTTCCCACATTTAGTGTTTAGAAAACAGTGGTGGAAAGCACCATCTAACGTGTCAGTCACAAATCTCCCGTGTGTGTTCAGCTGGGTTGGGATCTGGTGACCACAGCATGTGACTCACATCATTTTCATCCTCAGCGAACCATTCAGCGATCTTTGTTCCCTGTGGTTAGGAGCACTGTCATACTGGAAGAGACCACTCCCATTAGGATAGAAAGCTTTCATCAAAGAATATAGGTTCAATCAGAACAACGTCGTATTGATTTGCACAAGTAGATGCAACCTTTACAAGCAAAATGCATAACAGAGGCACCAGATGAGGACTTTCCTTTAATTTGTCACACATACGTACCCTCCATTACCTCTATTAGACCCTCTGTTAGATCCCTAAAATCATTGTTGTTACCATAGCGTAAAAGACTGTTGGACACTCAAAAGGACATTAATGGCTCCAAAAATACCAATTTCAACAGCAATAGTCATCTGTGTTGCTCGGCACAGCAGTGCATTTACAATGCTAGATTAAACAAAAATATTTAAATGTACTGCTGGTTAGCACAGGAAACAATTCACAACAAGACAATTACATGTACAAATAGTCTTGATTAGGATTAGGTGTAGCAGCATGAGAGGGAAATGAGTAATATGACCTTCCTTTAACCTAAAGGCCCAAATTTAAGTCTAATCAAAACCATCTGTCTGTGTCAACACACTATGTTCCAAAGCATGGCCTGTGTCAGTCAATGGAGCAAAGGTTAGAAGGTTGAACATGCCAGAATTACAAACTGAAGCTAATGGTGCATTTACGCAGTTGCAAATCATACATTTTCTAAAGTTCCCATTGAGAAGTCACAAAAATATATGAATAATATATGAATGGCAAACTAGTTCAGCAACACGTGTGTTTGTAGTACAGGAACATTTCACTGTAACATGTCATGGACAGCTAGCAATCAGTGTATCAGAATCAAAGTGCATATACTAGTATATGTCCAATATATCTGTAACATTCTGTGACTGACAACATACCCAAGATGCTACCAAGAACAGCTGATAGTGTTTTTGTCTGGCTTCTGTTAATTACTCCCTGCAGAGCCTTATTTGGTCTACCTCAAGTGATTAATTAGCAGTGCTACATTTAGTAGCACATAAAAATACCATGTGATCTCATGATATTTCTTGGCTTTACATGTTGGTGAGGACCTAAAAAATATATACAATGTATTACAACTAAAACCCACATCATTTGCATGCTTCTTATTGAAAACACAAGGCTGCATATTTCAGCTACATTTGAAGAAGCCTTTGAGAGGCAGTTTTACTTCGTCTTGAAATATGGACTTTGAGCGATGGAATGTGGCAAATTAGTCCCTGCCAGACCTCTTGACATTAACAAGTAGCAAAAAGAGGAATAAATCGTGTTTTTATGCCTCAAACATGCATTTGAAACCCCCTTAAGTATACATCACTCATAAAAACAGCCACACTGTATTTCTTTAACTGCTGCCTGAGTCATAGCAACCCTTCCCCCTCAGATCCCCAGCAAAGAAGCAGCAGTGGGTCAGCAGAAGCAATAGCAGACCCAAGGGCGAGCATCATTATAACATGGCTGTGGTAATTAGAAGGACCACTGAACCGTTGGTTAAACTGAAGTAATGTGCTTTATCTGCTCTAAAAGGAAGTGAGGATAAGGTTCACACTGGCTCCCCTGAGCTCTTTTCCAAAACACTGAACTTGTCATGAAGGTGTAGCTGGTTACAACTAATAATAGTGGCTCTTCAGATGAGTTGCAGTAGAAACTATGCACACTTCAGGACTTATTCAGGATTAGTAATATCAGTTTAGTCAGCTGCAGCTTCAATAGATTATTTGCTTCTTTATGGGAGGTGTGAATCAAGTCTTCTGAGCGTTAATTCAAACCATGTTTACAGATGTTCATGAAGTCATATGGTGCAAAAGAAGCCATTTTGCCTAAGTCAAGGGAAGAATTGTACTTTAACAGAGTGACAAGTCTGAGCTTATAACAGCTCAGTCTATAGATAGACTGTGTTGTGTGTGGATTTATTAGGATTTCATTACAATCTGAGTTTTCTACAGAGGGGGATATACAACAAACCTTTGTGAGGCAAACTGAAAGGCCTCTTTCATAAGACTTAATTGGGAAACATTTACACTGAGTTAACTTCCCATACAAATTAATACAACCTGACCCTGTCTACATCCGTCTGGCCGCAGCCGACTGCACAACACCACAAACCACACTAAATAAGCCATGTTAAATACAAGACTGATATGGTGCGACAACAGAGTGAAACAAACTAAAAAGGTCAAGTTGTGAGCCACCTCTGTTCCTTAAAAAGACGGGCATGTGAACAGGAAAAGTTATTTGGAAAGTCCATGCTGAGAAAAGTCTGATGTAATGTAAAACGAGACAGCAGAGTTTTGAAAGACGTCCTTCTCCAAAACAAACAGCTTTGCAGTGTTTTTCTTACCAAGAAGTGCTCGGAACAGCTGGCTGCCCAAGATGGAGGACACTTTGCCCACATTGGTCTTCAAGGCCTGCTCCTCCGGACTGGTCAGGTTGGCCTGGTATTGTCTGAGCAGCCCCACAGCCCTCTCTGTGTCTGCCTCACAAAATAAATGCATGCCTCAGAACAACAGTAGCAGGGAACCAAAACATACTGACACGGAAAATTAAACTGTGTTCTCAAAAGTTGAGATCAAAGTGAATGATATAACATGTCTACACTGCTTTTAAATGTCACCAGAAATGTGTTAGGGCTGCATGTAGAAATCATTTGACTATTAAGTACTATTTGTGACCAATCATCTCGTTTATAAGATGCAAGCAAATAGTGAGAAGAGCCCATGGTAACACCTTGCAATGTCTTGTTTTGTCTAGCAACATTCTAAAACTGAAAGTAAAGAAACAGAAAGTACATTTAAGGAACTGGAACAATGTCACTTCTGGCATTTTTTGTTTACAAAGCTTTACAAATGATCAGGTCACACACTGTTACTGACTACTTCATGTCAATCCACTGACCGGTTACTAATGCCAGCTCTAAAATCTGTAGAAAATAACTAATCATCTGTAGCAGTCCATATTGAAATCAGTGTACATAGAGCAGGTTAGAACCCACAACTTCATATTTTCAAAATGGACACAGTTAAAGACAAAAAATAGATGTTTTAATAACACACAGCACGTTATAATGAAGATTTATATCCGTCTTGTAACCGCATGCAGCTCTGCTGTCTGTTATATCCTCCTGCAGATCACATTAAAGGTATTTTTCTCTTCCAGCAGGACTGTACAGCTGGTTGTTGAACCCGGTGGGTGGTGAGGAACACAGCACAGAGATGATGCACATCACGAAGGTAAATCTACTACTTCACACTTTCCTACCTGCAAACTGAACATTATGATCGAGAGAAAGTTGCAATTTCCAGCTACTGTAGTTTAACTTTGTCATTCCCCGAGGACCCAAAAACACCTGGTTTCTCCAGGGATTACTGCTGAGGCCAGTGGGCCAGTGAAAAGCAATAACTCTGATGGAGTAATGAGCTGGCATTAACCTAAAAACTTTAACTTGAACCGAGAATTACTGCAGAATGTTGACACATGAGGGAGATGAAGACATTACTTACCATATTTATGCACCATGGTGTGGCCAACGTGAAAAGTCATGGAAATGATAGTTTTGTGTGTGTGTTTTTCAAAAAAAAAAGAGGAAAATAGTAGCAGCAATAGTCTCGGATAATTACACAACCAGAACTGTCGCTCCTTCCTCACAACAAGTGAGATCTTGAGTTTTAAATCCAGTCGCTGAACCCTCCCAGTCTGCTGCAGCGGTCAGCACTGGGATCCACACCCACCCGCTGAGGTTAAGATGTGACAAGAAGAGACTGTTTACTTCATGTCAACTTTCCAGAAGTTTTGGGCAAAAAACGGCCCCAGATCGTGACATGTTCCTCCTCCTCCCCTCACACACATGCCTCGCCTTCGTGGAAAAAGGCCAGTGGAACAGCCTTTCTCTCCGTCTTTGGCCACTGCAGCGCCGGTATTAACACATTTAAACAATGCCACCTGCAGATAGCTTAAATTACTATATTGCATAGTGTTAGTAAAGTTGTACGTTGTTTATGGTTACATTTTTCTCTGGTCAGCACAAAGTCGCCTCTTTTCCAATTTGTTTGCAGGGTACGCCCTCTTGTGGTGTACGTAGGAGGTGCTAGCAAATCACAGTTTAAAGGGGAGCTCCGCCGATTTTACATTCAGCCTGGTTAGCTCTTGTGGAAAAAATAAATAAGTAGACCAACGTCATGTGGACCTAAAGACTACAAGTTTAAAAATGGGGGGGAAAAAATCTGGGGGTGTCTGAAAAAGGTGAGCTTACCGGAGCTCTGTGGCCGGCTCTTCATCTCTGCTAGCGGCTAGCGGCTGGAGGCTACATTAGCCGCTACTAGCATAGCACGCTCCAGCCCAACTGTCAACGGCCCAGCTGCATCATGGGTAATGTATGCGCCAAGTTTTGTCTTCTCCTGCCTTGAGGCTACAGAAAGACACTTTTACACTATAGGCCTAGTAGATTGTAGTGGTACATTTCAATTCTTGGTATTTTCTTAGATGATAGTGGCCTTGATAATCTTTGAATAACATTGAAATCGTTTTACTGATAGGAGAAAATTAAAAATAGTGATTTTTAGAGGTATGTGGTGCCATATTTAAACAGTGCAAAATAAGCTTTTGTTTGTTTTGCAAGAAGACATACATACAAACTGTTTTTTACTGTCAATTTGAGAGTCACATGGATTCTTATTCTCTTATTTTTAATGTGTTAAGATATAATAGTAGTGATGCTAACAATATGCCATCTTATCTTGCTGTAGCACTACTTCGTGATGTGACACTATTTTTATTTTAGGAATTTAAATGTTGATGATAATAAAGTTAGAATCTCTGTGTTGTTTGTCCAAGGTTGATCAAATCAAAAAATAATTGACTGTAATTCTTTTTGTATGTCTTATCCAACAGTTATGTGGCAGTTAAACTGAGAAGTATTTTAACATTTTTTAAATATAGTTACTCAAATGTATCATAAGTCACACATTTTTATTAATCAAAGACACTCCTGAGATTTTACACTGTTTAAACGCTCTTAAAGATAGATTTTAAAAAACAAAGACAAACTTAAGTAGCAAATGCAATTGAGAGAGTTCAGCTTTTTATAGCATAATGGAAGCAATACCAATTTTATTCAAACTAAAATTATATCTACAACACAATAAAGTCTACTGAATGAATACTTCCTGTATGCATATTTCTGATCTGAAATGTGATTTTTATATTTGTTGCCTAATATGATGTAAAATGTACTATTTATACATATGTAGCAAATTAAGGGAAAAAGCTTAACATCTGACCTCTACAGTGATGGGACCTGGTGGCTATGTTATGCTGTGGGGGGAATTTTTTCTCCCATGGTTTGAGTCCACTTGTCCCTTTACAGTTAAAGATCACTGCAAATCAATACAAAGTTGTTCTGAGTATTCACCTTTATCTGATGATGAAACATTTCTATCCTGATGGAAGTGATCTCTTTCAAGACAAATATGCTCCCATGCATAAGACAGCAGAGGTCACTGAATGGTTTGATGAAAATTATGTGAATCATATTTTATGACCTTTGCAGTCACCAGATTTCAAATCTGTTGAACATCTATGGGAGATTTTGGACCTGCCAAACATCCTAATAAGACACTTTCTCCTTTAATTTGTCACCTGTCTGGATTTACACTAAACTGGGAATTCAAACTGAGTGGTAAGGGTCTTTAGCCTCTCGTAGTAACGACAGCAAGGCCCTACTACTCTTTTGCATTTCCCGTCCAAATGTAAAGGTAGAGTGTAGAAAATATTACGCCTATCTCTGTTTCTCCACATAAATTGTCTTCCCGAAGTTCTACACAGAATGAGAAACCAGAAAACGAAGCCTGGTGTTCATCATTCAACGCTGTCTTCTACACAAGAGTACAGACTGCAGTAAAGGTCAAAGACACGGACACAGCATAGTGTAAAAAATAGTTTTAGTGTTTATGGCTCAGATTACAGGCTCGTCTTTTCGAAATGACACGATGATTCATTGCTGTAGAACTCAAAAGAAAAACGGTGAAATAAAAAGGAAAGCAATGCATATATACAGTGCAGGTTATACAATCAGACTGTCAAAAGCAGTATATTTCAGTAGTAACAGAAGAACAATTATACATGAAAACCCTTTGAAAGATGAACCCTGTTAACCAGCTAGACAGGAAAAAACAGAAACTGCCACCCAGTGGCATCGTAATGACATTTGATTCACATCTTATTATCTTAGTATAAACAACATTTTAATTTTGGATGGCTTTATACTGGAGCTTATAGCATTTCACATTATCTTGCTTTCTTCCTGATTCAGGTCCAAACCGCCTCTGCAGGACAGAAAAGGCTAATTGACAGTTTCAGGATCAAAGCCTCCGCTGCTCATGTCCATCGAACTGCCCAGTGGGTAAGAAAGGATGCAGTTCTTTCTCATTCCAGGATGAAGGGTTGTTTCTTTGCATCTCTGTCACAAGTGAAGAAAAGCATAAATAGTGATTAATTGACAAGTTATAAACTATTAGGAACAGCTTTTGGTTTTCCAGATTGTTAAAAAAAAATTTAACTTGTACTTGTGCCTTTTTATTTTTTGTACTGATAAAGTTCTAATGTTGCTGATCGAATAATACATTAATAAAAAAAATGTAATCCAAGCCTGCAGTTTAAAATGTTGATAAAGTGGTTATTAAAGAGATGGAATAAAAGGATTCTTCACAACCTGGCAAGCCTAACTGATCAATAAAATCAAATTGTTTGTGCTAACGAGGCCTATAGTAAACAACTTATAAAGCATTTGTAACCAGTAGTATCAGAAGTTGACATCTTATAAAGTATTATTTCATAAATAAAGGGCACCGGCTAATACTTGTATTTGACATGGACAATGCCATTTTCTTCACTTTGCAGTGATTAGCATCATGTCAAACACTGCGTGCAACACCAAAATATTAATTGTGTATATATTGGTAGTTCGTCTCTACTATCATTATTGTCATTGTGTTATAGTGTTGAACGGTTGTGCAGTGAATAGTTTAGTCAGTAAAGAGAAAGTTAGCTGCAGTTATGTTTATCATCACTTAATTGTTTCAGTTTTTTTTTTTTTTTTAATAGTCTTTAAGGTCCAGTGTGTATGATTTCGGAGACTCTATTGGCAGAAATGAAGCATAGTATTTATAATTAAGGTTGATAAGTGTACAGTATAATCCCCTGAATCACTGTGTTTTCTTTACCTTAGAATGAGCTCGTCATATCTACATGGGGAGTGGGTACACTTCCACAGAGCCCACCATGTTTCTACAAGTAGCCCAGGATGTACAAATCAACCACTGGCTCTAGACATGGCCTTTTGCTTTACTTTACATAAGCGGGAACCAACTTTGGTTCTCCTAAACATCCGGAAAGGGACAGGTGAGGGTGGTTGCAATCTGCAGCTCCACCACTAGATGCCACTAAATCCCACACACCGGTCCTTTAACAGTTAACCAATTAACTGTGACAATAAGATTAATCAGTAATTACAAAAATGATCATTTGCAGCCCCAGTGTTAGTATATTAAAACATAAACTTACCTTCTCTGGAACAGAAACAGTGTGTTTTCCTGTCAGAAACAGTAAAGTGGATGAATCAGTCTGTTCACTTTCACTAACATTTTCATACAACAAATTTGTACAGCAAACCTCTGCTCAGCTTACCGCTGAACGATGTAGATTAGTATCATTATCACCACAGATGCAATGTCCACTGAAATCCATATTATTCTGTATTTGTAACGAGGCTGAAACACAAAAAAATATGACCATAGGGTCAAAGTGCGCAACACAAACACATACACTGGTACAAACTCCAAAACAAAACCTTGAAATAATGGTATTTAATGCTGGATAATCACTCACCATCACCCAGTCGGGCTGGTCCACATCTTTTAGGAGGTGGCAAGAGTTGGTGGTGACAGAACTGGCCCCTGCACACCACAGCAGAGAGAACAGCCAGCGCTCATTAACCACCCACAGGTTCACTGTAACGTTATTCATCCGAAGTTCCCTGTCAAACACAAACGTCATTTGAAGTAGAACAAGTAGGAGTTTTCTAGATGATAGGGTTGGTAAAGGAAGAGAGAAGTATACAATTTGAAGATAGGAATCTATGTGAAGTGGGACCGTAAATATTTGTGTATGTGTGTGAGTGTGTGGTAAATGTATGTTTGCAGCTGTGTGTAAATATCTGTAAGTTGGTATCTGCATGCATATGTGCTCATAACTCTCCTTTTTTATCCTTTTTTCTGCATTTGTTTTATCTAATTTTATATATATATTGCATTTATTTAAATACTACAATCAATAAACAATAAATTATACAAAAGTGAGCATGCGCACATGCATACATGGATGAACAGGAACACAAGGATATATACACACATGCTCTCTTTAAGCATCATGACCCATCGCCAGTCACACATGTGTAAACAGTGTTAATGTAATGTTTGCTTCACCCATGAATAAGTTTAATGTACAAGACGACGACAGCGGCAACAGCTCCAGGTACAGTCAGTTCATCTAGTGCTCAATGCAGCACTTTGATGCATTCTCAGAACATGTTGCTACACCCCTGACTTTTTTGTTTTATGGCCCATTTGCTCATCCATTTAACAACACTCCTTGGCTGGGACGTTGCTCGATTCGCATTCCCTGGAGGACGACCCTCCAAAGCTCAGCAGCACTGTGTCTCGGCATGCTACAAACACACTTGTAATAGTAATAAACACACTACTGTTCATACCCCCTGGCACAATTGTTTTACCTTTTTTTTTTTTTTACCTGATTTTATTCATGCTCAGTTTGCTGTACTTCACATTTAGGTGCCGTCCTCCTTCATTAAGCATCTCACTTTCGTTGTTATAGTACTGGATGAAGCCCGGTGCTGTCATGTTTACATATTTTCTTTCTGCTGGAGGAAGCCAGAGAACCTGTAAAAAAACAAAACTTCTTTAAAATGTGCTTTATCATGAAATATCTCAATGAAAATCCACAAGAGGGATTAGAATTTGACTCACTCTGCTTGGGTCAATTCCAGACTTTAAGATGGTGTCCACTGTGTCCACTGTGTCATTTTCCTGGTTGGGACTGTATAGATCAAATATCACTGAGATGTTGTGTTGTTCAGCGAGGTTAAGGAGCTGAACTAAGGAGGGAATAGTCTGATTCCTGGCTGTTTCCTTCTCCTCTTCTGAGAGCTGGGACACTGAGCAGAAGGGATCCGTCTGGAAAGTCAGATAACACTTCATTTATCTGCAGCACACTACATGATAACATGAGCCATCTTTAGACATGGGTATGCAACACTGCTGGCTTCATCACCTGTTATATGCCTATTGTCATTCAGACATAGGTTGCTTTACTTTATTTAGGATTTCCTTAATCCCTGAACATTTTGTCCATCTGTGATGATTTTCTAACTACTACTCACCTGTCTGAGATCATTTTCTGTTGGAACCTGATCAGTCCTGTCTCCATGTCGGGGATAATTTATAATTAACATCAAATGATGCTGTTCCACATGCATAAATTTGTGCAACTGTCTTTTAAGATGCTCATATGGATCCAGCTGCAGGTATTTAATAAATTCAGAGGAAAGACTCCTGGAAGCATCAAACTAAACTTTAGCTCTTGAAGGCTTTTTTGTCAAAATTGGATTACATTCATATTAGTGAGTCTCATTAATCGGTCCTATTATGTATTGTCACAGTAAAGGTTTATTTTGATGGACATTTCAGTTTGTAAAAAATGTGAAATTCTAGGGAAAAGTGAATGAGAAACATACACAAACTGCGCCTGTTGTTATTTTTATGTTTTTGAACCAATGTTAGTGCTGGAATGTGGAAATAGCATTCCCTATGTCACTTTACACAACTCAAATTACCATCACTTGTGCACGCCTGTCCAGTAATGCGACAGCACGCAGTTCAGACTTGTGCTGAAAGTGATATGCATATGGCGCTAGATCCCACCTTGTAAGACTGCAGACTTTTTAAGGAAAATTTACCAGTTTGCTCATTCAGACGTGAAGCTGGCACGTTTAGATGACGTCACATTAACAGAAAGCAGCGCGTGTGTAAAAGCTACTACGTAAACCTCTCCAATCAAATGTGTGGACAAGCATGTATAAAAGCACAGGCCTCACCTTTAGGAACCATTCCCCTGCATTCAGACTCTGTAATTCCTCCAAGGTCAGGTCAGTGCTGAGGTTGAGTTTCTGGCCGGGAAACTTCTCCTTAACATTTGTCGTTCTCAGCAAGAACTCCGACTTATTGTCGTGCATCAGGAAGGGAATTCTGTCCTTACTAAATTCAGGAAAACAAAATAATGAAAACAAAATATTCCCAATTTAATTCAAGTATTCTTTTTTTTTTCAAGTCATGTCTACATTTACTTTTTTATCACAAAACAGAGTGCAAAGCTTAAAAACAACACACTGTAATAATTCATTTGCAGGACCAATTTTTAGAAGAGTAGTTTGGGGATTCGCTAACAGTCTTCTTCTTCACTGCCTTTGTTGAACCATAGCAACACTTTATGGAATTTTTCCTGCCACCAGTTGCTGATTAGTGGAATATCATGACAACGCTGGCAGAACTGTGTATTATTTTACCCAAAATACTGCATTTAAGGGAGACTGTGCCTTTGCAGTGGCATCTCCAAAGCTTTGGAATCGCTTTCCTCTTTCAGTCCTTAGACAACTTTAAGAAAAATCCCAAGGCTTACATGTTTTATATGTCTTTTGGTTTTTGGTAATGGTCTGAGTAGTTTAGTATTATATATTTATTGTGTTTTGTTCCAGAAATACTTTCGTTTTTTACACATATTTTCTTTTTTGTTGCCTGTTTTGTTTTTTGTTTTTTTTTAACATGTACAGAACTTTGATCAACTCTATAAATAATTTATGATTTAGACAAAAATGTATTTAATTTTTGTCTTTGTGCACATGCATGGAATATAAACAACAGTGATACTGACTCTTAAAAAAATAACTGTAGTGCTCCTGAATTAAATTATGCAAATGCTTTCACTCTTCAACCCAGCCACTAAAAAAGTAGCTGACAGCTCCTAAAGTTGAGCCAATTTTCACTGTACCTGAGCTGCACGTCTGTTTCAAAGGCAGTCACACCGCACGCGATGCTCCTGTTGAAGGACATCATGGTGTTCTCTGGAGCCAGCTGAACACAGCGAGGACAGATGGGTGAGACACACTCATGTGCTTAAGTGCCCTGACTACCCTAAAGCTGTGTGAACACACACAACCCCAGCACACGGTGTTAAATGGAGCTTATTGGTGACCCAGCAGCAAAGCAAACTAACAAGGGCAGAGCAGAACAGCATATGGGGCCTTCACATGACTGGACATTTGCTCACACCTGATCCAGGGGTAGAGCCTTTGCTCCACTGTGGAGATTTGAAAATGCAAGGTGACTACATTTAAAAAGAATTTAACAAAATTTGACATATTTTGTAGCTCACCATTGCAGGATGTTTATGATCTTTGCAGGGATTTTAGCAGTTGAAATGTCTGTTGGGTGGTTTACAAATGAAAACTAATAGTTTGACAAGAGCTACTCTTGTTTGTTTTCTTGCGAACAGTAAGAGGAAAAAAATGTTAATCTAGCCTTCGAGATAAACGTTAAGATAGCACAAGTCAGTGCCGCTAAAGCTCCAACAAAAACTGAGGGGTGGAAATGATAAATTGTGGGCTGGACTGTTTCTTGGCAGAGAGGATCAGGATAGCAAATTGTTCCCAAAATGTTAAACTGTCGTTTTAAATGAGCATTCACCTGCCCTCTGTTGACTCAGCTGCTCATTCTCAGCCCTGGCAGCTCTTTCTGATGGTGTTGTAATGACAAAGACATGATACAAGATGCGTCATGTTTATCTTTTAGGCGTCGTCAAGTAAAACACAAAGCTCACCATGGGGGCTCCTCTGTGGCCGATGAATTTGGGCTTTTCAGGTAATTCCCTCAGTTCTATTAGACAAGGAGACTGGATAAACAGGGGACACAGGAAGATGGCTGCAGACACCACAAGAAATGTCCCGGCAATCAGGAACTTGTGACCTGGAGAAAACAAAAGTCAAACAATGATCTTTGGCTATTTGGCTTTGAGTGTGAGCAGAGGCCCTGTACAGTCCCTCGTCAGTCCCTTCCCTCAGAGTCATTGGTGCTTTCCAGTGATGCACCAGACTCTTTCCTTGTATCCATCTTGATCCTTTTTTCAAGGACAAGAATTAACACATTACCATTTCTACACAATTTTTGCACAATTATAGAACTTATTAAGGAGTCTGGCTTTTTATGTCTATGTTTCCTTTGTGTGTGTGTGTGTGTGTGTGTGTGTGTGTGTGTGTAGGTGTGTGTGTAAAGGATCCTTTGTTTAACTAGGAAAATTCCATTCAGGCAAAAAACCTGCTCTTCAAGATAATCTTTTCATGTTAAAACTGTTTCCTGGTGAAAACAGGAAGAACCTCAATTTCACAACTGACTGAAGAAAAAATAAGGAGTGCTGCACCAGGTCAAGGAAAGTAAAGTTGTTAGTTTCAAAGTGGAGAAAATATAATATCAGGAGCTCTTTAATGACAAGGCCATGGCTGTGTCCGAAATCACCCAGTATACCCTACAGGCTGTTCACCATTTTGTAGTGCTGTCTGAATGTTAAGTTACAAATGTTACACCCTATATAGTGCACTCAAAATATCCCACAATGCACCGTGAAAAGTAGTGTACAGGTGATGGTCGCTAACCAAGCAATATGGACCATCATGCATTGCATGAAAGGAAATGGAAAGACAAATGAGAGCGTGATAACTTGTCATTCAAATGTAAGTAATTTCCCGTTCCTGTTTTGTTAAATTTTATATTACCCGTTTCTTAGCTACGCAGTAAACTGTGAATTTGATGTGTTTGTACTGTGCTGCTGCGGCACAAATCATGGCTAGCGAGCGACGTAATTAATAGCTTGAGTAGTGTCCCAAATGTTGCTTTGTCAGGGTGCTCCCTACATAGTTCACTCCATAGTTCACTATATAGTGAGTAGGGAGTGAGTGGATGATTTTGGACACAACCCATGAGTCAGAAAAGATGAAAATAACAGATGTCCCACTTTTTATGAATGGAATGTTTTTTTGTTTTCTTTAATTAAATCAGGGAATATACACTGCAAACTATCTTCTAATCAGAACAGGGTTACATTTTAGCCACAACAGTTTGCGCCCCAAAATTCTCAACCACTGAGTTAATCCACACCCTGTCAGATGTGGCTTTAAGGGACAATGACCAGGTACGAAGACACTCCTTTGATCAGTGACTATTAAAGATCATCTTTAAGTGCAGCTTTAGTCAAATGACTCAATGCCACAGATGACAAGAGGAGGATGAGGATGGGCGGTTGGCTTGTTGGATGCTGCCAGGTCATTTGGGGTCAGTCACATGAATGTCCACAACTTTGTCATGTAATAAATCATTCCAGACAGCTGTGGATGGACATGTCCGACAATGTGATTCTGTCCCCCAAAAAGTCAAATGACTTTGTCTAGCAATTCATGAAAATTGGGACAACACTTCACAAGGACGTTGTTCGTTACAGACGTGTGACTCATTACTGATTTCTGGTCTGTGACTCCACTCTCAATCTGTCCATTATCATTTTGAAGGTAGTTATTTGGTTGTTTCCTGTGATCTATTCTGTCGTAGAGATGTTGTGTGTTGGAATAACAAAGACGTATTCCCCTATTTTAAAAAGAATTTAACAAAATATTACATGCTGTGTTTATATTTTTGCTCAGTGTGCTCATGTTTGGTAAAATGTTGTGTCTGTACACAGTGTTGTGATTGCTTGTGACTCATACCTATGTGTACTCTTAAATGATGTCTGACACATACCTGTTTTGGCCCTGTGGAAGCCCTGGAAGACAAACGAGCTCAGCAGAGTCAAGGCTCCAACGGCACCAAACTGTAAGAAAGGACCGGTGGCCTGCCAAGACACATCAAAAACACATCATGGTCTCACACAATGTACAGCCACATAAATCCCACCCCCCACCCCACCCAAAAAACAAAAAAACAAACAAGTATTTCCATTCTTATAATGTGTAGTGGTGCTCTTGTTGTACCTGGAGTGAAAGAGGAACAGTTGGCCATTCTTGTCGCCACTCGAGGCTAATTCCCGTGACCCCGACAGTGAGGAATATGACACCAAAAAATAAGAAGATCTGTGCAGAGAAAAAAATGACATTCAGGGACTTGAACAAACTCAGTCGGTGACGTATATGTGGAAAAGGGTTTGACAAGTAAATGCGTGACACTACCTTGTGCAGCCAGTGCAAGTCGAGTTGTTCTCCTAAGGCAACTTGGAACAGTGCAAAGAGCTGTAACCGACAAATTGTTTAACATGAAACTGGAACTGTGGCTTCTAGTCATTTGTTTTGAGCTTGTTACAATAACTGGTTCTGTGGTTTTAGATGAAACTCAACAATGACAGTTTTGTTTATTTAGCTATATCCATCCAACCTGTGTAAAAATAAACAAAAAAAACTTCTGTGGCTATAAGCTACAAGATCCTGCAGTCACTTATTACTGCGTCGTCACAGTTTTAACACTTGATCCTCACCAGCAGCAGAACGCAGTAGCTGGTTAACACTGCGGAAATGATGATCACCACCATGAACCAGTTCACCCACTGTTTGAGCTTTGTGAACCCCTGCCTGAGAGCAGAACAATAGAGAGCAGCACAGGGTTAGCAGAATAAAGGTCGGCAATAAAAGCAGAAAGAAAACCAAACAAAGGAAAAGAGAGGATTCTGGGTTTTGTTTTTTGTTGTTTTTTAGTCATGTGGGTGTGTGATCCCTCACCAGTTAACGTCCTCGCGGTCATTAAACATGACTAGACAGATGTACATCCAGCAGAGGGAGAGCAGGGACACCAACGTGACCACTGAGAACCAGCAACATGGGCACTGAATTGTAATAAAACAGGTAAAATAGTGTTGATTTTTATTGTTATTATTATTGTTCTGAGTAATGTGATAAGAATCATTTCTGTATTATGTGCAGGTGAAAGTATGTGTGTTGGTGTGTGATCTGATTCCAAAGTGAATTTGATCCACGAACACAATGGAACGAGTCCAACATTTCTTCATAGTTGGTTTTGTGCCCTGCACTTCGCCGTGACGCCTCGGCACAAACAGTCCTTTCATGCTCTTATGCCATCAACGGCTCACCTCCACTTTGCACCACACATTTATTTTTTTTTGTGTGTGTGTGCAAAATCATAGACCACCATCCTCCTCCTTCTTGATAATCCTGTTCCAGATAAGTCCCTAACAAGCCTGCTCGGGCCTGTGAATGTTTTTTTTTTTTTTTTTTTAATTTTCTTGGCAAAAAATACCTTTTCATCAGTTGACTTAATCCTTTATTTACAGTGCACTTATTTTCCGTAGCACCATGTGAATAGTTTTCTCTTAACAAAAGTATCTGCTTTCATTTAAGACGCATTTAAATCAATCTCAGGATCCATTGCAGAACTTGCCAATATTTTATATCTCTGAATTCAGTCAGGTGGAATGTTAATCCCTGATTACGGGGATTTGTAAAGGTTTTCCTCAGCGGAAGCTCAAAGAACTTGAAAACAAAAATCACTGAAGCATTTTAAGACACATTATTCGTTAAAGGTCGTATACTCCTGCGCACCGTAGTGCTGAAGGAAATGAGAAGATTGGAACTCCCAGATGAGCTGATAAAACATAATGAAGCTTAAATAAACATACAAATATGACTTAAAATACTCACTTTTCTTTTATTTTTACTCGAGCCACTCCAGTGGCAGCTATACAAGCCCCTGCAGCAAAATCTGCAGCAGCTGTTGTTGTGAGACATCACTTCTTCTCTTCATTCACAGCGTAGGAAATGTAGATTCTGGACACCTGATACCAGCAGCTTGAAGAAGGATGAAGGGAGTCCTGATATGGAGCGTTTTCAGGATGCAGAGGAGAGGTCTGGTCTCATTCACCTCCCTGAACCTATATGGAGCATTAGAGAGGGGGGAAAAAAAGACGACTGTGACAGAGAGCAAATGGGGAGGGGAGGGAGGGAGTTTCTTTGAGTATTAAGGCAATCCCTGCTCAATAACCCCTTCAATAGAGCCTGTGTGCAAAAAGGGAGCAGAGCCACTGGCAGCACTTACAATAGCCAGCACCATGGGGCATTGAGAGCAGCGCACAGAGCGGCCTGAGAGTGAAGTCACAGTACGAGAGCCTTTGGAGCACAATCAGACACAGTGACAGGCACAGCCACGCACTGAGAGCAGCAGGAGGAAATAAACTGAACGAAATTCAGAACAAACAGTTTACATACTAGGAGAGTGAAAAAAAAGAAAACCTTCAGGCAGACTGGAGTTTTAAAGGGGTTTTGGATTGCCAGACGTTTCTGTTTCGACATGTGCAACAGACCGAAATACGCGTCATGGCAAGATTTTAGGCAACATGTTGGTGCACATCTTCCCTCCCTGTGCCAAGTTTCGACCCTCTCCACTGCAAAGGACATGGGAAACTTTGCACATTACTTGTCACCCACCGTCGAGACACATTGAGCAATAAAGGTTTCTGTTGTGAAAAGGCTCTTTACGACCAACAGTTTCTCGTCTGACTTGATTTTTCTTGGGGTTTTGCCAGCTCGCTTAGCTGCTTCTTTTTTTTTTTCTCCAATGTCAAAGCCCTCAGGATGACAATCAAGTTCAAAGTTAGGGCATAAGTTTTGAACACATCAAACATGTTAAGATGAAACCTAATTATAACGACTCACAAGTTCTCTGTAGAAGAAACTAACATCCTAGTGACATGTTTCTAGGAGATTAGAGCTAATAGAAACGTGTTTGGGCGGGTGTCAAAGTCCCTGATGTGAAACACAAGACACCTTGTTTCACTGCTCAAACTAACCAGGAAGTTTTAAACATGAGCTGAATGTTGAGTAATAACCGTAATATTTGACAAACCGCACTGTCAACTGGTGACAAGATGACAAAATGGAACAAAAGAGTCCCCATTTCAACCAAGGAACAATTAAATAACTCCTCATGGTTGAGTGCCTCACAACAGTGTCCTTTTTGTTTCATTGTCACACAGTAGCTGAAAGACGTCGCAGTTTATTTATTTAATGATATTTTAATTGCTGCTCTCTAACCACATACAGAGTCCTACCTCAACACTGAAGCATATCATTTCATAATGCGGGTAAACCCTCATAAAATAAATGCACAGCACTCACAGGTACCTGTATTTTTCAGCAGATTAAATGACAACACACTCACACTTGTCGTCAATTTGTTCATCCACACAGCCTTTATCACTTGATGCTGGTTGACAATGTAAACTGTAATTACAGGCACAAAAATGCAGTCAGTTCACTCCTCTAATCCAATCAAACTGATGATTGATGTTAAGGCAGCGATAGATAAACGGAGTCAAACTTATAAACAAAGTCACATCTCACACTCTCACTGATGCGGGTCATGGTGCAGGTGAAAAGGTTCAACACCTCTTAGACTAAGAACTGTGTTGCTCTGCTGTGACCTTCCTTTAACGAAGAATCACTTCCTTCTTTGGTTTTTAAATTTTTTTTGTCAAGAGTGAAATTATCAGAACAATAATAAGTTTCACAAACTCTTAACCGCTGATGGCCATCAAAAAAATCCTTGTTCTGACAGAAATCTGGAAACAGAATACCTCTACATTCAATATCTAAAATGAAAGGTTAGCCAAGATTGTACAAGTGTTTTAACATTTTTTGACATGTTTTTGTTGTTCCCTCAGTTTTTTTTCTTGTGCATCTCATACAGGATTAAGAAGTGCATTGCGTGTGTACTGTTTGTTTCCTCCTTCTTTCTGGGTTTACTGTTTAGAAGAGCTGGTCAACACCACACACAGGCTTTGATTACTATATTTAAAAAAAGAAACTGAACTGTTATCCATTAAAAAGACCTAAAACAACACAGTAAACTATGATGTTAAGAGATGTTGAATTGGCTTCTTTAGTGTGATTTCCATGTGACTAGAGTGACAAAAACCACTAAGCTTCAGGCTGTCAGCTTTAAGCCAAAATGTCCAAGCAGAAAATGTCCAGAGGGATTTCTGCATTAATCGTTTAATCCTTTGCATCAAGGGGGCAAACCAATTACATCACTTACCAGTGTGTCCTGGAGGTGCAGGAAAGAGGTGCTTGTCCTTTTAAAAACAAACCTGTGTGGAAAAA